CTCTCTCTTGTAAGGGACAGTGTAAGCCACATCTGCTAGAAGCTGGCTACAGGTTGCCTAATGGGCATGGTCAAGGTGAGCTCAGGATGATGTGAGATAGGGTTTAAAGGGATAGACAAGGCACATGGGAGCCCCTTCTCTCTGGCCTCCCTGCCTTGCTGCCCCTGGCACGTTCTGGCTTGCATTTGTCTGGCATTATCTAATAAATAACCTCACTGATTAGGAATATCCCTCATTAGCTGGTGCCCAATGTGGGATAGGAACCCACGATCCTGAGATTAAGAGTCTCATGCTCTAGTGACTGAGCACGAACATCCCTCATTACTCTCTCTCTCTCTCTTTTGGCCCTGTTTCCATTTTTCCTGTCCTTTAAGGTGATTTCAGATGCTGTATCTTCATAATAACTCTTTACATGTGGTCAAAGTTGGTTTCCTCTCACAGGCCTTCTGGGCAATGGGACTCCCTCTAATGCACTTCACATCCAGCCTTTCTCAGCTCTGTATGGGCCTGGCTTTCTCCTCTCAGAGCCTGTAAGTTTGAATTCAAGGCTGTCTGTGGTGGGCTCTCTTGGTCTACCATTGTCATTTTATTGTTGTATTTTTTATTAAATTGAGTAGGCAGAAGAGCAAGGGTTGAAAGGGTTCAATTAAAGGTAAAGATGTCACACATTTGTGATTATTCAGTAAACTTGAGTATTTAGGCTGTGTGTGTGTGTGTGTGTGTGTGTGTGTGTGTGTGTGTGTGTGTGTGTGTGTGTGTGTGCATGCATAGACTAAGGTTCAAGTTTAAAGGATGATACTTAAAATGGTGTGCTGGTGAACCTTCATGTCAGCTTGACTGGGTTGGAATCATTTAGAACACACCTCTGAGTATGTCTAAGGAGGTTTACTGGGGAAGGGAAGACTCACTCTGAACATATGAAGAGCATTGTCCCGTGGTCCGGAATAAAATGGGAAAAGCAAGAAGACAGCCAGGTCTGAGCATCCATTTCTCTCTGGTTATCTGTCCCATGGTCCCAGCACCTATGCTATCATGGACTATATCCCTTTAAAGAGTGAGAAAAAATAAAACCCACAAGAGACCCGCCATCAAAATGACCAAAGCAAAATCCTTCTTTCCGTAAGTTGCTTTTGTCACAGCAGCAAGAGTTACTAACACAGCAGTCTTTGAGGTGGCAACAGCAGAGGCATTTTTAAACATGACCAGTGACCTCTGAGAGTCAATGATGGGAAGCACACATGGGAAGCACAGTTGTCCCATGTTACAGAAGATATTTTAATAAAATTTGGTGGAGTCTCCACACATGCTGCAAAGGAGAGAGCCTAGCACAGTGTCCACAACATTGGAAACTCTCACAAAGAGAAAGGATAGAGCAAATTTAGCTTTTCCATCTTCCTTCAGTCCCAGGTTAGGAGATACTGACTGCTTGCTGCCTCCGCTTTCTCCTATGTAAAATAAGTAAGAACCTGATATACTTTGACTACATGAGAAGCCAAAATTACTGTGATCATGAAATATTCAGCATGAGATGTAAACAATAATTAGTGAGGAAAAGCATGGCCACTAAAAGAGAATTTCAATTGCTAAGACACAAAGTAACCTATGGTTTCTTTGGACATGTCAAAACAGCTTTCATTAAGTCTTTATTTTAGTACCATTGTATGCAGGACTCGGCTTCTTTGTAGAAAGTCGGAGAGTTGTTACAACTCACCGTCCATGGCTGTTGAAAGGAACAAGTAATGCGAGTGATTGCAAAGCGATTCCTAAAATCCAGGTATTATACAATAATAATAGTAATCACGTGTGACTAAAAGTATTTCCATCTTAGTCAGTTGTAATACACTTTCTCTTTACTTAAGTCTCTTTTTACCCTCTAAATAATGCATCTCCCCCTGCATTTACAATCTCCTGGCCTGCTTTTTTGTGTTTTAAATTAGGCTCCTACATGCCCACCTGAGCTCACACCCTTCACTTCAAGAGTACTGCCAGGCGAACTTTAACAACAGGACTAGGAGATTTATGGTCTGGGCTTCAAGGAGGAATGTCAGCATCCCAACAATTCAGGGAAAGAACCCTCACACCTCATTTCTTCATTCAAATGAATTCAACAAATATTTCTAGAACATAAAGCCAGAGCCAGGCAATGTGTTACAAATACGGTACACCTTAGATGGCCACACAGACTTGGAAACTAATCACTGTAATACCGGTCATAAAAGTTTTATTGAGGATCTGCAGAAGGTATCTCAGTAACACACAGTGTGGAATTACCAACTCTGTGCTGGGAGGAGGGGAATGGAACATGTCTTGGTCTGTTCAGTGGCAGATAACTGAGCTCCTTGTACCTCTGTGTACCACTTTCAGGAATAAGTTTACAATAACAGATCTAGCTCCCTGTGGGAGCTGCTACTCTTGGGATGATCAGAAAGCCAGGGCTCCAGTGTGCAGGAATGAATCAATAAAATTCTTCAGGTGGGGTCCATGGTCTCCCAACAAATACCCACCACACATTCTTGGGTCCCATGCAGCTGGGGTCTGCATGCTCCTGCAGCAAAGCCCAATGGCTCTGTGACCAGGTTTGACGCAGAAGTTTGGTTAACTTTCACACCCCTCCTTTAGCTTCATGGTCTGCCTTGTCAAAGTTGGGCCCCGTGTAGAACCCAGGTTGTGAAGAAAAGTGATCTTCAGCATCAGGTCTTCTAGCTAGTAGGAATCTCTGATTTCAAAGCTGAGATGCATGTCAGGAAGCCATTTTAACACCTACAACTTCAAGGCTTTTAGAAAAAGTGTTGTCTGGTCTGGACCTTCCTGGCCTAGGAAGGTCCATTATAGGGCATTTCAGCAGAGACAGCTATGTTTCTATTGCTATGGCCTTGGCACAGTATGTTCAGACTAAATTTAAGACACTGAAATAATAGTAGCACAGATGGAAAACAAGGAAAGGTAAGAGATGGGAAGGAAAGGTGGGGCTGGTTTTGAAAGGCTCAGGACTTACAACTTAAGCTTGCAAGTGGTACAGAAATCCAGAGAGGTTTGAAGATGTAAGTTTGTATGTGCACACACTTGTGTATATGATCAGGGCAGAGATTAGTATTTTGGTGATTATCTTCTTAAAATAGTGTATGTGCGTGTGTATGCATGCATGCTCTTGTACATGCCACAGTACACTTGTAGAAGTCCAAAGACAACAGTAGGAGTCAGTTTTATCCTTCCACTGTGGATTCCAGGCATTGAACTCAGGTCATCAGGCTTGCTGGGAAAATGATTATATCTGCTGATTCATCTTGCCTGCCCTCTCTTGATGGTTATCACCACAGTGTACTGAAAAATTCTTGATACCTTACTCTCCAGAATAGAAGACACTCAAGTGTGTCACTTACATCTATTATCTGTGGCATAAATACTTCCAACTTAGTCCATCTCAAGAGTAGTGTTGGGACGAGATGCACACAACTGGCTCTTCTGTGAGACACGAAGAAGTTCATTTCACTGGAAATGCCAGAGACATAAGCATTTGGCCCAAGGTTATGCAGTGATTTAGTGGATAACACCTAATCAATGTTTTAAATCCATGTCTACCAATTTTCAATATTTTTTTCTTAAAGACTTTGCTGTCTCTAGCTGGGTAGTGTGGCCAGTTTTCTGTTTCAGAAAAAAATCCCCCTGGCAAGAATAGAATTAGAGGTGGGTGCTATAGCATGGAAGAATTCTAGACCACTACAGAAATGAGTGGACATGGAAGTATTCTGGGAAGATGTATTTACAAAGTCAGGTTGCAGGTCTTAGAGAACAGAGGTGAGCTGAAGAAAGTAAGCACATAGATAAATGAGATACTGTGGATGACTGTGGAAGAGACTGAAGAGGGAGAGTGACTAGGTTGAGCCTGGCTATGCCACAGCACCAGGAAGTGTGGGCATGTTTGAGGACTGATGTAACAATGGCTACAGAGTGTATATGGTGCATGGGTGTGGTTGGAGGGCAACTTCCAGATTTCTGCCTTGTAACTGGATATGGCAGTATCATTGACCATATGCAGAATTGTGAGAACAGGGATTTTGGGAGAAAGCTTGCACATACCGAGTTTAAAGGGCTTGTGGGGTCATTACCATCTGGATGTCCAGAAAAAGAAAGCAAGAATGTTGAATAATATATGAGTTAAAGCAGTCAGCCTGGATAGAGCTGGGAGATTGATGGAACCTTGGCTGAATCCGCCCAAGTAGATGAACTTGCTAGAAAAATGGAAAGGGCTGAAAATAAGTGAGGGACCTTGAGAGAGACAGTGATGTTGTTAAAGATGACCTTCCATAGATGAGGTGACAGTGATTCTAGAATGAAAGAGGCAATCACTGTTGAGTGATTCTGTGACTACCATGATGGGAAACTTTGATCTCCCTCCATAAAAAAACTATTTTCTCAGCTGCTGTGAGGACCATCCAAAACTGGTCTCAGCTGCTAGGAATCTGGGGTGCCTCAGAATAAGAAAACTGCCTGATCATAGGGTTTTTTCTCTTCCTAGTGTAGCCATGTGGCATAAAGGCCCACTCTCCCATCCTCACTTGAGGAAACTCTGAGTGTCCAATGTCCTCCAGAGTTTCCTGTGAACTTGGCTGGTGTTAGTATGCAAGTACATTGCAGCTCAGCCTCTCCCTGTCCAATCTTGTCTGCATGCACCAGATGCCCCTTTGCCCTGCTGCTGATCTTGGGTGTTGCTATGGAACTACTTGACTGTTAGATCGGTGGTTCTCAACATGGGTGTCTCAATTTTTTTTTGATAAACCTCCAAACTATTTATTTAGAGATTTACAACTATAGCAAAATTACAGTTATGAGATAGCAATAGAAATAATTTTATGGTTATGTTTAATACACAACATGACTGTATTAAAGGGTCACAGCTTTAGGAAGGTTGAGGACCACTGTATTAGAGTGATCAGAGTAAGCAGGCAAAGGTCCACCTAACCATTCATCAGATTCCCCAAACAAATCAAGACACCAATTGCCTCACTGATTGAATAAAGCTTTATTTTAATGCAAAATAAAACATGAAAATTTATATACTCATATACAATAACATCCAAAATGTCTTCAGTGATATAAATGGGATCATATTAAAAAGTTTGTAAAGAATTCACTCTCCATCCCCATATGACAAAATATGATTTCACATAATTTATCTTTAGAATGTAAGAACAGATGACTTGGTAATCATAAAAGAACAGGAAAGACTAGAGAAAGTGAGGGTATAAACAACAGGTTTTGTTTTATATTCCAGTAGTAAATAGCATTGCAGATGGAACGGAACAGTTTCTGAAGATCAAGAGATGGGCTCAAATCTTTGGGAATGGTTCACTTCCCACTCTGAGCTTAGTAACCAAACCCAACTTTAGAAGCCAGGCTGTGGGTGATTGCATGCCTATATAAGGAGAGGAGGGACAAAGAGTTAACACTTAGAAGCCATGGTTCCACGTGAGAATCCTGGCTTAGTTTTAGATCTCTAACTTTTTTGCTGTCCCTGTTAGCAGAAAGGCGACTTTGTAGGGGTGTCATATGGAGAATCCCTTTTCCCATCTCCCTGTAGCCTCATTTCTACACAAAGTTGATGTGAACTGAGGTGGAGAAACACTATTATGGACTTGTCTAAACGGAACTCTGTCCTGCCTAATGGCATGGAACTTGGACTTTCTTACTGTCAACATGGGCCAGGGAGCTATGGAATGTCTACCCAATTTAACACCAATTGGAAAGTCACTCACAATGGATCTCAGAGTTTAATGCAGATGGGAATTTTACAGAGAAATATTCCTTTATCAACCACTTTTCCATTCCTTCCACAGGCCTGCAGCCCAGTAACATTGCTCAAACACTAAGCAGCAAGCAAACAAAGCCAAATGCTGTTGATTTTCAGTGAGGGGGAAAAGTAATTACTCTTTATAGTCTTGGTCCCTCTGTGGACTAGGGAACAGAGGAACCAGCTCTCTGATTCTAAAGTTGCAGGAAGATTTCCTTCACAAGATAGATTTAGCTAAAAATAATTCAGGACAGTGGACCTTGTTTTAATTTTATTCTGTCGGCAGCAGAAATAAGGCTCCAATAAAGCCTCCAAGGCTTTCTTTCTCCACAATGCTACTGAATACATCAGACTTTTGCTTCATGAGGTCCTGTGGGTTCAACATAGATGTTCTGAAAAGTCTCAGAATAAGGAGTTTTAGAATAATTTTTTCTAAGCTTTGTTTGCTATGGAATCATGATTTAAGAAAATGGTCTTTTGTTTGTTCACTGATTCAACTCTGGAGGGAAACAATATTAAGCCAAGAGGAGTGGTGGTGGATCAATGAGCTGTGTTTCTCTCTCTTGTGGAAGACTGAGTTCTCTAGGGACTAAAGGTTTCCAGTGGTCTGTTCTCTCTTATCTTTCTAGTCATGGAGGAAAGGGAGGAAAGAGGACAGGTGCAGCTGGATGGCCAAGGAGCAGGTTTGTAGGTCTTGATAAACTTTTCTCTCTGTTCCCCATTATAGAGAGATACTCGAATGAGTTTTCTCAAGGTTACAAATATCCTGGTAGCTATTCCCTTCTTCTGGGAACCTGCTGATTATAACCTGGACTTCCAGATAGCCACCTGTTCTCATAGCACCCCAGAATAATTGTCCTGGAGCTGTGGAGAGGAGACAAGTCAGACGGAGAGTACTACTCAAATATTATAAATCTTACTGCCCAAGCTGTTCTTAACCGTTGCTTGGCTTGATGCAGCCTCCGTCACAAATATAATGTTAGTTCTTTAAGGCAGGGTCAAATGCAGCAACTGCTATACTTTTAAGCAAGAAAAGAAAGCTGTTATCACCTCTTTTTTGTTCTCTTTAATAATACCTTTGAGCCTCCGAGGGCCTTTCAGGATTAGCAATTATTGGATGGACTATGTGTACAACACAAAGCCAAGGTCTGAAGCAGATTTTCTGAAACCTGCATATAGGGTGCTGTGTGCTCAAAGTGTCAATGCTGGACCCAGAAACATGAGCAGTCATCTGCAGTGCCACTTCTCTACAGCACGCCATTGTCACCTACCTATGGCTCATCTGTAAGTGGTCCACCCTTCCTGCAAGGGGAAACTTCTTCCTTGGGTAGAATCAGTGCTTTATAGAAATTTGAGTAAAATATAGAACACACTGAAGAGTAATGTTTAAAAAACCAAAAACAATCTACCCCCTCCCCCCAAAAAAACCTACAGGGTCTTGTCATACAGTCCAGGATGGTTTTCAACTCATCCTGCAGTTCAGGTTTACCTCCACCTTGCAGTCTGCCTGCCTTGACTTCCTGAGTGCTGGGATTCTCTGCCACGTGGTACCATGCCTGGCTTACGAGTTGATCTAATGCTTTCTCCCAAAAGTTGCATTTCCTTCATTCTATCATTTTCTTTCAGGGTTCCTTGGCTCAGAGGAAAGGCCCTGTTCAGCAGGGTGGCCAGGGACCCTACAGCATAGCCACAATGCCTTGTTGGGCAGGGCCTGCCTGAGGTCCTCCACCCCACTGAACAAATTACATATGATGGAAGGGCACTGGCTGAAGAGAGATGGCAGATGACAAAAAGCAACTTGACAGTCAATTTTTTCAGAGGGCCACAGTAATTGTGGTTTAGATAATGACCTCTCTTGGAGTCTAGCAAATGACACTATTTACGTCTAAAACCAGTGGTTGCATTATTCTTGGTAACAAAAAAAGAATAATAAAAAAAAAAGACTAAATAGGGCCAGATGGCTACTCTATGTGTTTTAGAATACTGTAATTCAGTAAATTCTGTCGGTCAGTGGTATTCTACTCTCAGCCAAAATATGTCTGTATTGAACTAAAGACCTTTTGGGGAGGGGAATGAAGAGGGAATGTGAGTGGCTTAAAGTTCTCAGTAGTTACTGAGACATTCACAGTGCTGGCCCGGCCGTGTCTGCCATTTCTCAGTTTTTTGTATGTGTTCCCATTTGGATCAGCTTGGACATTTCGGATGCTCTGTTGGATACGTAGAAAAGCTCAAAGGAAGGAAGAGCGGCTTTGCAGCTTTCTCTAGCCAGAAAGCTTTTTTCTTTGTCTTTTAAATCAGGTGGAGACCTTGGCTTTGCCCTGACATTTGTTAATGAGATAAAGCAGATGCACACTGATTTAATCTTAATTTCTTCTCCCTTTACTTCCTCTGATTCCTTCCTCATCAAACTTCCAGAAGGCAATTTTCTCTTCTCCTCTCTATACTGGTAATCACATGTGTTTGAAAACACACACACACACACACACACACACACACACACACACACATACATACACACACACATTCATTGCTGGTGACCAGTTTCCTCACTGACCCAGGGGCAGATAGGTACTGTTTGGCACTGAGTCTGGCACAGACATCCCTAGGACATTGCTTCCTGTGTGGCCTGACCAGCAGGCTCACTTTTCCTTACCCATCACACTCACATGTATACTTTACTCCTTGAGTGGAAATCTAAAAGTAGAGGTCTCAGTTAAAATAATTATAGGCATTTGGGGAGGACTCTGAAATGAGCCATCTCCAAGCAAGCATGCCAGGGCCTGGAGGAGAGGAAAGCAAGGACTAAGGGACAGTCAACCCTCTTCACCTGCTCACTGTGGTTCTGGCGGGAATGTGTTCCTTCTGGAAGCCCTCACAGCTTTGCACATCCTCCCAGGACACTAATACTGGCTTTTCTGTCAAAAGCAAGGGAATGTGAAAGCTTTGTACCAAACAAGTAGTACCAAGAACTAAAGGTAGACTATAAATAAATAAATTCAGCCTTCCTTCGGATCGAACATCTCAGAGGTCACTCATTGGTCATGATTATTGTTACTTGGTTCTCAGTGGAGACACTGTGCTTATGAACATGGCCGTAATTGGAGCCTTTCTACTCTGCCACTGTGTAGGCACAGCTCCAAGGACAGGACTGAGAGTGAGTCTCTGAGTGTGTGACAAAGCCTGGCCAAGATAGCTACCTGTGCTATGTGTAGTGATAGGGTGGGGGGTTGTAACCAGCTGGCATTCTAGCCAGGGTTTACTATAGTGTATCTCCATGGATTCTTAATCAATTGCCACTCTTTTCCAACCAACCAATTCTTCAAGCCTTTCAAGTATCAGGAAGTTCTGTTTTTATGACCCCACCCCTTCTTCCTTTTGAATCCACACCCCCAAACCCTTGTCCCCCCTTTTTTCTCTTCTGATCATCAGTCAAGTGTCACATCCTCAAGGACCAAGAGCCACTCTGTACCATGGGACACCTTCACCTGGAGGTGTCTAGCAAGGGCAAAGGTGGTGTTGGTGTCTTCCTTGCTTGGTAGATCTCTGTAATGTTCAGCTATACTGCTGCAGTCATGGGGTTCTTCTGCCTGGGGTCCTGGTTACGATAGGGGTGCTGGTCAGGGCTGCCCCCTTGAGGCCCTGCTCTGCCCATCTCCTGGTAGACTGGAACTCTCTGGTGCTGAGGTGGGGAAGGTGGAACATCCTGTCTGAAGGGTCCTTTGTGCTGATGGGCTGGTGGGCGTGGGTAGTACTGTGGATATCGGAGATCTGCCATCCTCAGATCTGGAGGGCGGGAATAGCTCCCCCTTAGGGGTTGTACAGGATGAGGCCCTGGGTAGTATGGAAGCTCTCTTTCATTGTAGTGCCCTCGGGGTGCTGCTGTCAGGTAGTCCACAGGATCTGCTGAGCCTCCCCTAGGAAGAGAAGCAGAGAAATATGTCAGTGGCTATGGAGCTGCTCCCAGCTGAAGACTGCATGCTTCTGCCTTGGCTGCATTGGCTGTGACCACACCCTAGGCCTTGGCAAGGGTATATGAGTAGATGTGATATGTACCCTTAAAGAGCGGGAGAGGAAAACATTTTTTTTTGTTGCCATCTTAGACTTCAAGGTGGAAACCAGGGAAGGCAGAGCAACAAGAATGCAAGAACTCAGGCCCTTGACACCACAAGCTACTGTGTCATCTAGGACAGCTTACACTCACATTGGTACATGAGAAGAAATACATTCTTTTATATTCACTTTTATTACAGCCATCAAACTAGTTTCCTCTACAAAGTGATGTTTGGCTCTGTTAAGCCTGTGACTGTTAAAGCCCAAGTCTGTATGAGGTACAGTAGCATTAATACTCTGGGTCGGAGTCCTCATAAACCGTACTCATTTCCCTCTTAGGTGGCAGAGGTGCTCATCGAATGGGCTGTGTGTGGCCTTGGCTAAGTCCGGGTGGCTGCTGTCACACCCCTCTACTGTTCCCCAAAGAACTCTCAACTCGGGGCTGGGAAATTATCCACCTGGAACTGTGGGTAAAAGTAATTAGGTCTACCACAAAGTCAGTAGCAAAAACCAAGTTGCCCTGCATAATGGGTAGCATACAGAAGGGTCCAGGGCAAGAACACACACTAATAGGAAACAAGCCTGTCTGCAACTTTCTACTGAAGACAAGTATCATCTGATCTCGCCATAACAGAAACAATACGTCTCTAGACTATGTGCAGATGATGACATCTTGGCTAGCCTGGGGTGAGACACATGACTTCTGTTTACAGCCCTCAGAATCCCAATCTGCCTTCTGTGCACATATTTGCCAGTGCCATTCACCACATCACCGGATCCTCCATTCTTTATTCCTCTGCTTGGAAGATTTATTTTTTTTTAAAGGAGAAACAGCAACAATAATGATGACAGAAAAGCTTGCCAATGTCAGAGTACAGACTGTTTAGACACTCAAAAGAAACGACAGGGCCACAAGAATACAGTGACTGTAGTTAATCAGATGCCATCAATGAGGGTCAAAATCACCCTGTAATCTGTGGAGCTGGATGTTAAAACAGCCCCGTTCCCCAAATCAATGAAGATTTGACAAGCTCTGAGCTCAGGGAAAGCTGCCTATGAATGCAGCCCTAAGGATGAACGATCCAGTCTTCTATTTACATTTATCTGTGTGGGTGTGTGTGCTCTAATTTTGCCATGTATAATAATGAATGATAAATCCATGAATTTGGGGGTAATTTCATTAGTGAGAATTTTCAGATAAAAAAATTAAATTGTTTGTGTACAAGTTATTTATAGCATCAGCTGCTATTACTCAGTTCAGGCCTCTTTGCTCTATGCTAAATTGCCCATGACAAATAGAGCAGACATACATCGCCAATCATCTGTCACTATGACCCTGCAAAATAAAGGGCCCAGTTTTCACCATCCCTTTCCTTGACAATTTCATTTTTTTATTTAGAAAATTTCCAGCACTCATTGCATCTTTTGTTGGTTAAAAAAAAAGAAAAGAAACATTAAAGACCTCTTCTCTCAACCACCATGCTCATTTCTGTTTCCTTTGGCTCAAGCTGGAGATTGCAGAAACACTTTAAAAAATCCTTAACCTGTGTTTCTTTTCAAAAGCTACCCAAGGTATTTCTCTGCATGAAGTGGAACATGTGGTTTCTCTGCACTCATTTTAAGTCCTTAGGATAAATCACTGACATTTGCAACACACAAACATTATCTGCCTTAAATGAACACACAACCAACACTCCCTCTGGACTCTCTTAGCGGGAATGTTTCCTGTTTAAAATGGAAAGAGAGGAGGGAGAAATTCCAGGCCTTGTTTTTTTTTTTTTTTGGGTCCTGGTCTCTCTCTCTCTAAAGATTTCTCTCTTTTAAAACAGAACATTATAAAAGACAGAATGCCTTAGATTTTTCTCTTACTTTCTTTTTTTAAGTTGTGGAGAGACAATCCAGAGCAAGTGGTGATGGGATAGAAGCCACCCTGAGCGACTTGAAACCCTGAGTGACTCCACAGTGTGCATGTGGGGCCAGAAAGGAGACTATCTCCTCTCTCACACCTCACCCTGTGACTATCCAGCACTCACTGTGGGGAGGAGGGAGGGTTCTGAGGGCAGAGAGGGTGACCCCAAGATAGCATCACAGTCCCAGAGGGTTTCTCTGTAGGAGGATTATATGTTGGGGAGTTTGCTTACATGGGGCAGGCACCGAGTGAGGTGCTGCTCTTTGTCAAGCAGCGGTGACATGGAAATCGTCTTTTTCTGTAGAACTCATCATAGCAGTTATTGTTTGTAATTTTTCAGGGAGAAGAAAAAACAATGAGTTGCTCTGTGAAAACATGATGGCAAGTTCAAAGACAGCAGGGGCTGCTGTTTATGACCCCGCCCCCAGCCTATCATTTTCTGCAGATTTTCACCAGAACAACTTCTAAACTATTGCAAATATTATGAAATGTGCACTCTCATATAAACATTTAAATGAACCATTTCTGTGAAGTGGGGAGATGGCTCAGAGGTTAAGGGTGCTCTTGCAGAGGATCAGAGTTCTATTCCTAGAACCCACACAGGGGAATCCTCTTGTAACTCTAGCTCCAAGGTTCTAAGCTACACACATGTACACACAGGTGCTCACCCCCCCACTCCCCACCCCCCACACACTTAAAAATAACAGTTTTTAGTACAAAAAACACTTTTTAAGTAGAAGAAAAGAAAGCCCACTATATAAGTTATCTCCCCCCCCCCCCCCCCCCCCCCCACAGCCAGATGGGGGAGAGAAGCCACTTTGGGGGGGGGGGGGGGGGTTAGTTTTGGGAGTTCATTTTGTCTCACAGTTTCAAGAGGAACAGTTATCCCGATGGAGAAGGCAAGCAGAGCAGACACATGAACTGGAGCGTATGTCTTAGCTCCTCACACGGATGTAGAGGTTAGTAAGCTAATGGGAACCAAAAATGGACATCATCCACAAGGTCCACTCCAGGGCAACCCATTTCCTTTAGACAGGTCACATGGATCAAAGATTCTACAACTTCCCCAGATAGTACCATCATCTGGGCACCAAATATTTGAACCCAATGATTCTGTGAGGGAAACATTCCCTTTAAGCTTCTGTTTTCCCACTGAGTAGGCTTATTTCCAGAAGCCAGAGGATTTAGGTTTTGCTTGGAAATTCATATGGACGGTTTCAGGTGTGTTCCAAATCACACTGATGCATGCAACTATGGAAATGTTGAATGTTAACTGTTCTGCAGAAACATGACAAAGTCATAGGTTCAAACCTATAAAACTTCCTCTTTAGCCACAGAATTGAACAAAGGAGGAAGAAAGAGCTGAGATATTGTTGTTCTCTTCATCTTCAGTGTCTTCTTTTACAGTGTCTGTGTGTGTGTAAGATTGAGTGTAGGTGAGGAGAGCAGAAATTCAGTCTATCCTGGAGAAGGCTTGCAGAGGGAATGACCTGCCTTGAGCCAATCCTGAGAAGTTCAGGGCAGCTTCCTTAGGAGACTTTGATTAAAACAAGGACTCCAACTGCAAGTATGTCAGAACCTCAAGGCTCTCAATTTTATGTGATCCAAGAGTCTTATTTGTATGTATTATTAATTTCTTTAAATAAAGAAGAATCTCCCCAATTTAAAAATCTTACACAGAAGCCATATTTACTGTAGGAAAGAGAAACATGACTGTATTTGTTTTCCTTATAACTTTGAGTGAACTTCTGTGAAAATTCCCTTCACATTTCTGTTTTCTTTCTGAGTAGGCTCATTTCTGGAATCCAGAGACTTATGGTTTGCTTGGAAACTCACGGGAATGGTTTCAGGTATGCTTTAAATCACACAGATGCATGCAACAGTGCAAGTAATAAATGTTAACCATTTTGCCCAAACATGACAAAGCCACAGGTTATTTGCATGTAAAGTAACAAATAGATTGCATCCTTTCCAAGAGGACTTTCTTTTTGTGATATCTTACTACGTCACTAGTTTATATTTAGCAAAAGAGACCTGGAAATGAGAGCCTATGTTAGTCAGCTAGTCCCTGGGTACCAGCCATCATCATATATAGAAGGATGGAAGATATGCTTCTGTTTGGTTAAACAATTATGCTTGGAAAGGGGGGGTGATATATGAAGGGCAGATCCCTATAGTGCTTTTTACCAAGAAGCAGGTTGCTGTTCTCAATGGAGTAGAGAAAGGTACAAGTGTCCATCCTCCTATCTTTTTGTCATCCTTACAGGGAAAAACTCCATCCTCAGTGCTAGCTCCATGTGGAGTGAAAATTTGAAAGAAAATGGCCCCAAGGGAGTAGCACTATTAGGAGGTGTGGCCTCGTTAGAGTAGGTGTGGCCTTGTTGGACAAAGTGTGTCATTGTGGAGGTAGGCTTTGAGGTCTCATTTATGCTCAAGCCATGCCCAGTGCCCGACAGTCTACTTCCTGTTGCCTGCAAGATGTAGGACTCTCAGCTACTTCTCCAGCACCGTGTCTACCTGATTGCCACCGTGTCCCACCATGATAGTGGACTGAACCTCTGAATTGTAAGCCACCCAATTAAGTGTTTTTCTTTATAAGAGTTGCTGTGGTCATGGTGTTTCTTCACAGCAATAGAAATCCTAACTGAGAAACTCCAGTTAGTCATTCTCACTGCATGTGTCTTTCACTTGGCCTTGTGGTACTTATCCAATGGATGTCTGGGAAGCTGGCACTGACTCTTATGCCTCCGGAAATCTCCCTTGGAGCTCAACACAAGGCTTTGTGTCTCATAGGTGTTCCATAAATATATGTGGTTTTTTTTTTGAGGGAAGATGTATGATGTACACAGTAAGCAGAGAGTGTTAGACAAGTTTAGATGAGTATTAGGAGCTGGAGGAGAGCAGAGGAATAAGAGGGAAGAGCAGATTCACCTGGAGCTAGAGGTTGTTGATGAT